CCAGGATCCCTGGCTCCTGCTCACTAAATTCTAGCAATAGCCTTCAGTCATCATGACCACTAAAGGTGTCCATAGAGGGCTGGTAGTGCACTGATCTAGGCCCACACACTTGCTTTGTGACATCTTTACAGATCTAACAGAATAAGCTTTCTTTCTCATCTGAATCCCCATTGTTCAGTGGCACCCTTACAGTGTTTAGTAAGTTCTTGTTTGTGTTACAGTTGAATGTGGTGTATCCCTCCTTCATTCTTTCCCTGCCTTTGAATGCTCCCCATGCCAAATCCCCCAACCCCAGCAAGAAACTCTTTTTTAATTTCTTTTAGCAAAGGCATATGTGGCTAGTGCTCCTACATGTCTTCTTATGTCTCCAGATTCTTCAAGTTGGGAGCACTGTTTATGTTTCCATCAGCAGTATGATAGTTACTTATTCACTTAGTATTCTTCCCCAGCTGACAAGTGAGAGGTTCTAGTTTTACTACCTTCACCTTCTTCAATTTTCACCCCACCCTAGTTTTTGTCAGGCATTCCTTAAGGAGGCCAAACCTCTTTTCTATGACTAATACTATTCAATTAAATAGAGCATTCATATATTGGTTATAAGGAGAGGAAATATGAATATTGGACTTCTCATGGAAGATTTCTTAGAAATGGGCCTCAAAGGATTAATAGATTAGACTGGATAGAAAATTTGGGTAGAAAACACCAGGAAAGATTTTTTTTTTCCCAAGCAGAGGAAAAGGTCAAAACCATGACTCATGTTGAAAATTGGAGATAAGATTGGCAGAATAGAGTTAGCTTATAGAAGTTACCATAGAAATGTGACATTTACCACTCCCTTCGTCATTATATTACCATCTCCCCTGTTTTTCTGTTTATTTTAGTTGAAGGTATTTGTTGAATAGGTTAGTATTTATCCTCATGCCCCCACATATGCATTCCCCCACACCACAGGCTGCCCTGTCACTAGCTGAGCTGATAAGAGAGCAAACTACCTCCTTAGACTTGGTATCTGTTTTATTATATACGCTTCTTTGCAGAGCACTGGTGAAGTCTTGACACTTTTTAAAATTAAGCTTTATATAAAAATTTGGAGTATTTAGTTCTGTTTATGGTCAAGGTTCTGGTTTTTGTGTTAGTCATCGCCCTCTTGGCAGGCCATGCTAAATTCAGTTATTGTGTGTTTACAGGCTGTTCAACATTCCACATGCCTAGAGTTTTTCTACCTCCAATGTCCAGATACTTTTTCTGGCTTCCCCAACCAGCTCATGTTTGAAGACATTCATCTCTTTTCATTTTCATTTGCCTGATTAATTTTGAAATTAAAGTATTCATAGTTTACAACTGTGAATCAGTGCTTGATCTCATTCTGTCTACTTCAGAACTTTTGAGTACTTCATGGTACCCATTGTCTGATGGTAGAAGAGGAAGAATGAACCTTTAACACTTTCACTCTAGTAGTACCACTTTGAGTTCTTTTTTTCCCAAATAGTCATGGCTCATTTTTCCTTCCTCTTTTTTCTTTCTTTTTTCTTTCTCTCCCTCCCTTCCATCCTTCTCTCCCTCCTTCATTATACATTTGCATAAAATGGTTTATCAGTCTTTTAATTTAACTTGGTTCTCAAATACCTAATCTAATGTTTACTGTTTTCCCTTTCACCAGAAAATCCATAACTTTTAACATCTTCTGTTTACCAGAGCATGTTAGTGGTGAATACATGGTCCTTATAGTGTACAGTCCATCCTCAGCCCCTCACATCCCTGCCTGTGTTTCCCTTCCAGGGTCCTTCTTCTCCTGCCCTTCTAAGCCACCAGATTGTTCAGGTTCTATCTCCCCAATTAGAATCTCTCTGATATTTCTTATTCACACCAATGCAACAATCAAAGGTCCTTTCCAGGGGTAGTCACCTATTAACAGAACTCAAAGTCTTCAAGTAAATGCTACCAGGGAACTCCTCTGCAACTGTAAGAGTTTTGGAGCCTCTCTGCTGCTCTTGATTGGGTAATATATAAACAGATGTCCCACAGCCCAGGGCCAAAGGGATTTATAAAGGATCAAGAGTTACCATGAACCATTTCCCAACCTATCCTTTATTATGTCTTTCTCTTTTTGTTTTTTGGCAGTACTAAGGTTAGAACTCAGGACCTTACACTTGCTAGGCAGGTTCTCTACTGCTTGAGCCATACATCCAGCGCCTGTCCTCCCTTTAATTACAGTAATTCACACTTCATTGGTTCTGGTGAGACTGCCTCACTAACTACCCAAGAACCCGTTTTATAAGGTCTCCCCAAGTAGACCAAACAGTGTTGTTGTCATCATTGTAACTATTCGTTAGAGGTGTTGGGTACTTCAGGACTCCTAATGACATATTACTCCAATCATTAGAGAATCTGGGGTTTGGGGTATAGCTCAATGGTAAAACTTTTGCCTGATAGGTGTGAGGCACTGGATCCATCCACACCACAGCAAATAAATATCTAGCTTGTCTTTCAGAAGAGGCTTCCAGAATTCAGCTTCAGGCATTCACATGCTATCTGGTAGAGTTTTCTTCCTGCAATTCTGATAGTTTCCTTGGCCCAGGACTTGTTACCTTCAGAAGAAGGGAGTAAAGAACAGAGTTCATTGTAGAGCCACCTAGACCAACACTACCCTGAGTCTCCTTCTTGTTGGGCTTAAGATGACAATGCCATTTCAGCCATGATAGTAACTCCTAGATTTGGGAATCAGATTGCAGCTTTAGTTTTCCCTCAAAGTATCTTAGGTTTTCCATCTCTTCTTGATATTTAAGGCATTAAAGACCTCTGGTTATCAGTTTAAACCATAACAGGCACATGGGCTCTAATGACTTCAGCAGGTGATTTCGGCTATATTGGACAACCTGGTCTTGATCTTAAACCGTCATCAGGATTCTGAGTTAATCCAGGAAAGCAGTAAAAATTACTAATGGGTATTGCATGTCCCTGACATGTGTTTTCCATTATTTGGTCTTCCATGATGCAGCGCATGTATGTGCATACATACACACACACACACACACACACACACACACACACACACACACACACACACACTCACTCACTCACTCACTCACTCACACAAGGGACTGTGGTTCCAAAAGAAAATGACTGGTGTGATGCCTTGAAATCTGAACTTAGTCACATGTCTGGAATGAAATGACTCCAAGTATATTAGTAGGATGTCTTTCTTTCATTCCCTACGTTTTGGGAAAGGCTTTGATAAGAAACATTGCTAACTTACAGACATTCAAATTTAATTCTTTAAAGATAAGTACATTATTTGATAGGCATTACAAAGAGGCACAACTTGTAAAATTGGAGTTAAGCTGACATTACAATGATCTTAAAGAATAGGTAGAGTAAGTTAATGCATAGCAGCAACCATCTGTTCTTCATCTTTGGTAAGGTTGGAAAAGAAGGAAATTGTCTTCAACTGAAATAGAAGAGATTTATAAGAGTTGTAATGGGAAATTTATCATTAATATATACTATTTTAAACATTGGAAGTAGAGGAAGATGTAGAGGAATGATGTTTTCCATTGGATTTAAAATAGAATATATCATCTACTCAGGGCAATTAAATAGATAGGTGATTAGTTCTGTCTAAGTAACTTTTAACACTTTGACCCCATTGAGAATCTCTGATGGACCTTGTCTCCAAAAAAACTGTATACAATTTCAGGGACCTTACAGACTCCCTGAAGTCTGTGAATTAGACCCAAATTTAAGACACCCCAGATTAGATGATCTCCAGAAGTCTTTCCTAGCTTCCCTACTGACAAGCTTTATGGCTTACTTTTTCCAAACATAAATGGAATGTGAAGGTCAAATGTCAAACTTTGGATTTTCTTCCTCCAGATTTTATAATGCTCTTATTCTTATAGTAGAATTCTTTCTATTTGATTATCTTTTCTTTTTATTTTGACTCTGCACATCAAGTTCACACAACTTGTAATTGTATTGTTGTGATTGTTCAGCTGGACTTGAAGATATTATGTTTATACTTCTTTCATCAGTTTAATGTCCAAATTTCATTGACTACAAGTTGAACATGACCACCCAGGATTACTAATCAGGAAGTAATGTGGCCCTCTTCCTAAAATAAAGGATTTCTAAAGAAAAAAAATTCCTAAAAAAATTCATCCTCTTAGTAAATAAGAATGATCTGTATATTTTAAACTCCTAATAGTGAGGTAACCCCGTATAGGTTAAGCAAGACTACATAGTTTTCCTGTTCCCTCCTGCAGAAACTCTCCAATTCATCTGCAAGTCCTATAGCACTCCCTTCAATCTCATATTGAAATGTTCTTGTCTCTTTGTACATAGAATCAGGAACTCCAGAAATATAGATTGCCTCCATATGGAAGGATATGAGATTGATCTCTGTGAAAGCATAATTGCCAGATGTCTGTGGCTTCTTGTCATCCTTCACTGTACCTTAAGCTTCTAAGAAAAACCCTTAAATTCACAATTGAGAGGATCTTGATGAAATTAGAAATGGTACTGATGAATAGGAGCTAAGTAATCTTGACCAAGTCTCCTTACCATTCACACAGTTGGTCCCTTTGACAGTTGGTCCTTCCATTGCAGAAGGGAAGGAGAAGGGATTAAGTATTCTCTCTACTCTGCACTAAAATCTCCTCCTATTCTAGTTGTTCCAGTCATGGCAACTCACTGCATGGAAAGCATACCAGATGCCCAATGTCTACAGACAGAGGCTCAGTGATGTTAACTATGACTGTGGCTCCAGTCCTTATTGGGCCAGTGAAGGTTCTTTGGGAACTAGAATTGAGAAGAGGGCAGACCATCTTGGCACCCAGTTAGCTATAGCTCTGCTTAGTGACCACTGAAGTTCCTCTGTACCCTTGAAAGTATATCAACAGTTCATACCCCTAAAGCACATTCATGTCCCTCTGGGATTGAAGCTCATGGCAATGATGCACATTTCGTTGACTTTTTGTTTCTGTGTGTATTCCTCTCTGCAGACAACGTGATCAATGGGCAGGATTATGAAGTGATGATGCAGATTGACTGTCAGGTGATGGACACCAGGATCCTCCACATCAAAAGCTCCTCAGTTCCTCCTTACCTCCGAGATCAGCAAAGGAATCATACCAACACGTTTTTTGGCTCCCCTCCAGCAGCCCCAGAGGCAACCCACATTGTCAGCACCATCCCTGAGTCATTACAGTAGTGCACTGAAGCTGCATTAGAAAACTAAGAGTGGGCCTCTGCCAAACTGAAGAGCAGGCAACAGAGAAATGCTTTCAACCTCATTGGTGGCAAGTAGAGAACTGTCTCATACTACAATTCAAGGGGAAGAAAAAAGGGGAACAAGAAGCTGCTCTGTTTTTTACCGTCTGTCCATCTATGTGGAAAGCACTGGAATCTATATGCAAGAGAACATTTCTTGCATATAAATGTAGCCCGCATCCTCCTGTGTTGCCTGATGTAGACATTTCCCCCACACCTTCCTTAATTGCTTTTCTGGTTATATTTGTTTTGTGTTTAAATAGTCATCTTCTTTCAAATAAGATCCACTTCTCCTTCCTGCCATCTCACTTACCAATTCAGTAAAGTAACTTTTATTTAAAGCTCTGGTACACAGATGCTCAGTTGGTTTCTACCATTTGGGTTTCTCCTTTCTTTAATGCAAACCCATTCTAGATATTGTGCTCGAGAAAACAAATTTCACTCCACAAAGAATCAAAACAATTTAGAGCTTTGGGTAAAAGGGAATATCCCCAGTTGGTACAAAGTTTATTTTTCCTTGTGACTTGTGGTTCATCTGTGAATGCATAACTGTGTTGGGGATCAGGGGGGGCCACACACTTGAGAGAATGGAAGGAAAGAGGCAGTGGTAGTGCTGAGAAAAGAGATAGCTCCACTAATACACGCTTAAAATATTGAAAGCTTTATGCAGTTTCAGTTTAAAGACACAGCCAGTGTTCATTTTCAGGACTCTAGGTCACCGAATACTAGCTTATAGACTTGTCTTCTCTTTACTAATCAGGTGCAGAGCCTCAAGAACCACAGGAGAAATACTTCCTTTTCATTGCGAATCCTCACCCCACACACTTCTATCAGTATAGTACCAAATTCAGCTAAGGAGCATGGAGGTAGCTTTAGACTTAAACAAGGCATGAACTGTTTCTCTTAAGGACTGACATGTATTTTATCCTTAAGGTGATTGATTCATACAGGAAGCATGGATTCCTGCAGAAGGAATACATCTCATGATATGGTAATATGTTTCTCTGATGTGGAAATATCATTTTCTCTAGTGAAAAGACAGTGAAGGAATTAATTTTCCTGTCCCATGATTTAAAAACTTATATTTGGCTGTACTTGGCCTATTTTCTTTACCAGAGTAGACAGCTAAGTGATGTTTCATTTGGTGAATTCACAAAAAATGGATCTCAGGCAGTGATATCTTCACTGATGTTCAACCTTCATTTTCTAAAGTAAGTCCTGAAACACCTCTCTCCTCCTGAAACTTTTTCAGTTTCTTCATAGAATTCACTCTGCAAATACTGCTTCTTGTCAGAGTTCTTTCCTTGTGTTCCGTTATATCAGTCAGTTCTGCTTTGTTCTTGAAAGAGAAAGGGAGAGAGAGAGGGAGGCTCCTAAATAATTTTAAACATATATATAACTCTGGACAGTGACACCTCTCAAGACAATTAGATGCTTTTCAAGGCAACTGGGGTGGGGGAGCTTGCTCTATTATGTGGGAATCTGGAGTTGGAAAAGTATTAGTTAGCCTTTCTTTTTCCACAGTAGAAACTGTTTGAAGTCAGTACATCACTCCCCTCTGGTTTGGCTCCTGGGTGATTTTCTGACAAGAACCATGTTCCCTAGGGACCATCCTTCTAATGGGTGCCAGGGAATAGAAAGAAGACCTTTAGGTTATAGGCAGTCTTCTTGTGGGATGCCCTACTCCTTCCTTTTCTGGAATGTGAATTAGCCCAGCAAGAGGTTATGGTGACATGGTCATTCCCAAGCTGCTAATCTGCCGTGACTGTCATTCCTTATCATGGTAGATAGAAACACAGCAGGTCTGCAGTGATTGCTAATGGGGCCTCTGTCCTCTCCTTTTTACTAAACCACACAAGAAGTAACCATCACATGGTCTTCCTGTCTTTAGCATTTTGCTTTTACTTCCTTCCTCTGTTTCCAGCTGTTCCTATGCTCATTCTGCCAACTCCTCAGACTAAAGACTTCAATTATGTCACGTTCACCAACGTTAATGCCTCTCTCACAGGTGACAGTGTGAGTATTGGCTAGAATGGAGTCACAGCCAAAAAGCAGGCAGGTGTTGGGCTGCTGGCAATCCTGGGCAAGTTGTTGAGTAGCTGGGGAGTGATGTTTGAAAGAGGCTGGGAGCCTCACCTTCTGTTTGCACTCTGCTCCTTCAGCTCCTTGTCACTACCTGTTCTGGAATCCATCCTTTGGGGATGAGGAAACACAATTCTTCTCAAGGTAGAGTTTCAGGAAACAAGTAAAAGGCAACTGATAAGTGCAGAGAAATATTCTACTTTTAAAATTTCTGAAGCCGCTATCATTAATCCCTATGCACAATAGTAGTTTTTACCTTAACATTCATACACTAGCACAAGGCCCTTAGGAAAGGGAAAGCTGCTATGCCGGGCTAATAAACTAAGCAGGCATTCATGTTTAATTTTTTCGGTGGGATTGCCTTTGGAGGAGTTATAGCCAAGAACTGTGGGAGATAACATGTATATATTTTTTAATTTGTTGAGTTTTGAAGTGGGATTTTGCAAGCTTGTAAGAAAATTAGGTGAACTCGTGGAAGAAGTCAGTACACTGTTACTAAGTGGTTTTGTGCTCTTGGGTTGACAGTGCCATGTTGGGAAGTGGTGGTAGAGACTTATGGGGCTGCCTTTTGCTTGCTTGTGAGTCCCACACTTTGAAGCTCGATGGAAGTAAGTGGATATTTCCTTGTGCTAACTACTGAGTCAGGTGACAGAAGCTTCTCAGGGTTAGCTAGACATAGTAGCATAAGGATAAAGCTTCGTTAGACTATTAGTGTAAACTAATTCTCAAGTTAGGAGCTAATGGGAGAGAATGCTCTTAGGGCAAGGGTACTGTTTGCCACGCTTGTAGTATAGCCGCTTCACAATATTGAATAGGGTTTATGTTTTCAGAAATAAAAAGTCCCAATGATTATAAAAGCTCACAGCATCTTCTAATTTCTTTTTTTATATTAAGTTCCAGGACAAAGCTGGCACTTCTTCACCTTTTCTTATTAGCAAGAAGTAGACATGGCAGGACTTGAAAGCAACAATGTTATATGAGTCACTCCTAAGTGTTCCCAATAAATATTACTGAGAAACAGAGAAGGAATTGGGGATGGAGGCTGATTTTTCTCTCATGTTTCAAGAGACACTACCCTGGCTGAATCTTATTGGCCTGAATCTCTCTCCTGGGTGTGTATTTGGCTCTGTTAGATACCACTGCTGTGGCATTTAGAGCATTTAAAACTGGAGAACTCTCAAGCTCTTTGTGACTTTCTATTTTTTGATTCTTGCCATTTTACTAAACTCAGGTTGTGAAACTTGACAGAAGTGTATCATGGGAAAAAAATTGTAATTATATTTGACTTCGTAACACACTGAAAAGTTTGAAAGTCATTTCTATTCTCAATGTGTTAGAAGTAGCAAGTTTTGCTTCCACAACCTGAAGAGCCAGTCTGATCCCATGCCCCCTTTCAGTCTAACCTCGTGGAAATTTTCCACCACAAAAGCCTTTGCACTGCATATTGAAGGGCTGACTCGGCTTCCTTCAGCAGACCCACAGGAACCAAACTTCAAGTGAGACATTTTCATACTGTTGGCTGTGTCTTAGCAATTAGCCTCTCAATAAGATTGCTCTTTCCAGAAGTGATAGAAGCTTATTACCACATATAGACCCCATATGCCTTACCAAAATGTTATTTTCATCCATCCTGGATCATTTTAATTTACATAAATTAAGATGTTTACTGCTAATTATAACTTTAACTATAAAAATGAGAATAAAGCCTAAAAGAGAATGAAATATAAAAAACTTCCATTTCTAGCCTATAGCATTTGGACAGGGAGATTCCTGTTTCCCCCCACTGCAGGGATTGTGCTTGATTTTTGAGGAAACAGAATACTGGACTACCCAGAAATATTTTGCCAGAGTCCAAAAAGGAACTATGCACATAAAATAAATGCAATTTTCTCCTACCTGAAGAAAGAAACCTGTGTGTTCTGTTAAGTGATATTTTTAATAACTAAGCTTAAAACAAAGTTTATTTTGAATATGACTAAAACTTTCAGTAGTGTATTCTAATATCTTTGTTATCTGTCATGTGCAATAGAATTTGTGAAAAAAAAAAAGATAAAGGTATGTGATTAGGAAAATTGATCCTATGTGTGAAGCATGTCATGGCTAACCGGTGTCACATCGTGGACACGTTCTCAGCTAACTTTAAGCATTAAAGAGATTTAGTGCATTAAAAGAGTTTTAATTATATTAGAGTCAAGAACTAAGGAGCAAATGAATCATAGTTTTTCATTTGAAGAGCACAACGAACACCACCCTGTTGTGCTATTTGCCCCCAGTGAAGTCGGTGACCATTCATTAAATAAACTAGGAGACTTGGCCTATCTCCCAGTGTGCTAATCCCAGATAGAGATTAGCAGATGGATTTTCACAGTAAATATATATTGATTGAACTGTCTTAATTCATTCTCAGCCCTAATTTCTGTGTAGTTACCAAGACAGAGGAGATGATGGGGAAATGGTGTTTTAGATGAGAACTACTAAGCACTGCTAGCCTTAGAGATACTAGTTTCTTCATCTGTTGACAAGTATGGCTGGGCTAGGCAAATAGTGCTACATTCATGAAGCCCTTAGAACCTGAGAAGTTAGAAATGCTGCTTCACCAGGGCTTTCTTCCTTGGACTGTATCCATGCTCAGTTAAGAATATGTTGAAGATGAAGAAAGATGTACCATTCTCTTCTGTAATAATTTTTATGTTGGTTTACAGTACATAAATTAGAAGTAATGACAACACACTATTTCATACTTTCAAGCAAGTCTTTATAATGTAATACCTGTTCTTTCTCCAAAATTCAAATAAAGAATTTTTAAACTTGCTTTGTTTTGTTCTGTATGTAGAAAGACAAAAAAAAAAAAAACCCACAAAAACTTCAGTGTTAGGTGGTTAGTAATGGAAAGGAAGCCTAAAGAGGTTTTGTGGCTTGGGTTACTGTTTAGATAAAACTGCTGGACTCTATTCCACTGTTCTCACAAGACTGGCTAAGTAAAAATTTCCTTTATTGTGTCCAGATTGAACTACAATCTCATTAAGGAAAAAAAAAACCTATCTAAAACCCATACTTTATCATACGTCTGTGTCATTAGGAAACTGGGTTACTCAATTACATATCCAGTCTTCACCAAAAGCCTCTTTCCAACTTGGAATGGCAAATGCCACCAGTATGAAGCCAGTCACTGCAGACTGACAGCAGTCTGCAGTCAGTTACTCCATTCAGGAGTAATTGATGCAGGCATTGACTGAGCACACAGCAAATGCCTAAGACTGGTTCAAGTTCATTAACTATTACCTTATTTCAGTCCTCTCTACAACTTATTTCCTAAGAGAGTTGTATAATTACTAAGTAGTGGAGCCAATATTTGTATGTAGGCAATTTAGCTGTAGCACACAGATTATTTACTGCTATACTGTTCCTCCGGAAGAACAGATCTGTCATGAGAATAGCCTGTGGAACCACATCCACACACACATGAAATTATAATAAGATCAGAATTCTCTTAGAGACTGTGTTTAGGTAACTTTCTGTTGTTGGGACAGAATACCTGAGTTAAATGACTTCTAAGAGAAAAGGTTTATTTTGGCTCACAGTTACACAGTCTGTGGTTGATTGGCCTTGTTGCTTTTGGTCCTATGGCAGCACAGTACATCATGATAGTAGCACATAGAGAATGGAAACTCTTACCTGTTGACTACCAGGAAGCAAGGAGAGAGGAAGGGGCTGGGTTTCAATATCCCCTTCAAGGGAACACCCTCAGTGACCAACTTCCTCCTACTAGGCCCCACCTCCTAAAGGTTCCACCACCTCCCAACAGCACCACAGGCCAGGAACCAAGCTTTTAATACATGGCCTTTGAGCCATGCAAACTATAATAAAGGCAAAATTGCATTTATTATAGAAGCTACCTTAAATAGACTTAGTTAGAAAGTAAGACCCGTAATCTAGAAGGAGATTTCAAATCACCTCTTCTGCAGAGATGGTTAGCAGAAATTGGAAGAGGGCTGAACAACAGAAAAGAGAAACTGGGACCAAGAAACAAGGCTGGAGACTGGGACCTCCAGAGAGGAATCTCATTAGAAGATTCCCTGATGACAAGAGGGCTTGTGGACTTTACAAAACTGTGATGTTAAAATGTAAATTCTCTTCATTGTCCCAAATCTTCAGAAAAAGTTGATATGCAGCTTTGTATCAGTGCCCTGGGGAGTAAGAGAATAGGGCTCAGTGTGATATAATAAGAAATAGGTAAGCCATACACAGGCCAGCAAGACAAGCCATACACAGAAGAGTCCATGGAAGCAACAGAGTGAATAAAGAAAATATAATTCCCTCCACTCAGCCCACCATCACAACAAAATCCTTATGCGATCGTCCCTTGAGACTTCTCACTGTATGTCAAGGCAACTTTTAAATCCCAAAGGATAATCATGAATAACATTTGGTTACACAATACATGCTGTCAAAAAGAGAGGGCTCTTAGCATTCACCCTGTAATTTATCTAACTGTTCCTCTTTGAGTACAGATTCAGATCACTTCCAATGGTTTGCTTACCACAGGAAATCTATAGCATATTTCACTTCACATTCATTTGGTGTGATCTGAATAAATAAATGCCTGAAAAGCATGCCAACTCTCCCACTCTGCTCATGTGTGACATCCAACCCCATCTCCAGGATGCATGCACTGCCTAAACTTATGATCAGAACAAATTCTCCTGAGAATTCTCCCTGCTTACGAAGTCCTAATGAAGGTTCTGGACTATGAAAATGGTGAGAGATGCTTGTGTAAAAGGTCACACTAATCTCTAAATTCAAAATCAAAATGCTTTGGTCCAGAAGGACATACTTGGTTTTTAAGCATTTTATTAGTATATAATAGTTATACAAGGGGCTTCATTATTACATTTCCATATGTGTACAATGTGCCCTGGTTTGGTTCATCCCCCTCCATCTTCCTCCTTCCCCTTCTTAAAATGACTGCGACAGGTTTCAATGCTCCATATTCAGAAGTGAGTAGAAAATACTTCAACCATATTCACCTTTTCATGACCTCCCCTTATCATGACCTGTTTTATATTTAAAGGACATATTTTTTAATAAATGCAACATACCATACTAATAAATGGGTCACCTTGTAAGATTGATTATTCACAGGACTTTCCCTGCTAAAATCTATGCTCACTTAGATGGAGGGGACCTTATGAGACTACCAAAAAGTACTGTTTCCAATTGTTTACAGGAATAACCCACATTTCTATGAACAATCAACTGGGTACAAAGGAAGAACTCAGAGCCTCTCTGATCCTCATTTCCATGGTGTCCAGTTGAACGCCCAAGGCCTCTAAGGTCAACCCCATTACTGGAGCTAGGATTCTTGGGCTGTGTTTCTTCGCAGACAGTGGGCCAGAAGTAATGGCCCTGGAATGCAAACTTTTACCACAAATTCTAAGTGCTGCACCAAGCCCAGACATCTACCACTGGACTGTGGGAAACTGCAGATGGACTAGACAGTGCTCTTGTTCTCCAAGACATTTGAATAACATCTCTTCCTGGGTCTCTGTGGTCACCCTCTGTCCCCACAGAAGAGTAAAGATAACTTCCAGAAGAGGATAAGATTTCTGGTCAGCCTTAAAAAATAAAGTCAGACAGAAACTGCTCTCAGGGGAGCTTTGGGAAGGAAAGTTTGTTGACCAGTGTCTTTGTCATGGCCACAGAACTCACCCACTCACTTGGCTGCTGGTCCCAGCACATAAAATGGTACATTTTGCTACATTGTCTCTGGTTTCCTGCAGTTGCTTGAATTCTCCTCTGCTAAGTGACCAGTACATTGTCCCTTCTAGCCTGGTAGCCTCTAGGAAGACAGAATTACAGGAACCCACACACAACTAGCCAGGCTGTTTCTGTCAAGTCACCAGCTTGGGGGCGGGGACTGGAAATTCATCTTAAACAGCCCGGGCAGAAAGGATGTTGAAACACTTAGCCCCTCTGTTGCTATAAATGGCTCTACAGGTCACCACTACTAGAAATGCATGGAGACCTTACAGCACAGACAGGGCTAACTTGCCTTCCCAAGATTTATAATCTGGTGCAGAGACACCAGGGCAGGAACAGTTCAAGGAAGGAAAAATCCACTCCCTGCAAGTTACATTGATTTTTTTTCTCTCAAAGCAGTTATTGTGTGCTTCTCCTTTTCTAACTCTCATAATCTGTGCAGTTACTTGTCAAGTATTTGCCATCCCTATAGGACAGGAACCCCAGAAGGGCAGGAACCCTATCAGTGTCTCAGCCACTGTGCTGCCCAGTGTGCTGCGGACAGTACGTTTAGGACACAATGTTTGGAGCACGTTAGGCTAGATCGTAGTTTGAGTTGAAGTGTTGAGCATTCAGCAAGTCACAAATACACATTGTCCTTCCAGAACTGTACACAACAGACTGACATTTGTCATGTGTTTGCATGACACCATATGCAAATATTCATGGAGCACTAGCAATGCAGGACACACAGCACCTGCAGTGCTAAGGCAGGACTGTGAGGGAAAGAATATTCCCTTTTCACTTCTTCCTATTGCTTTTCCCGCTGCCATCAGTCTGTGGACCTGGAAAGAGGATGTAGACCAGCAAGTCTGTGACTGTAACGCCTAGACTGCAGCAGCACCTCAGAACTTGCTAGAAATGCAACTCCCCTGGCCCCAACCCAGACCTACTGAGTCAGACACTGAGGCTGGGCCCAGTAGCCTGTTTCAACAAGCCCCCCAGGGGATTCTCATAGGAGTTTGTGAACCACACACGTAGACGCCTGCAGGCAAGAGGGTAGGAGATCCTGACTCCCACTAGAGGTAAACTGAACTTCCCATAGCTGCCATCAGCTGGGGTTTAGGGAAATGGCAGTAAAGAATTTTCCCTTTGTGACTGCCTTTTGGAAAGTCCATCATGAGCACCCACAGCCTCCTGTCCCTTGCTACATCACCTGGCCTCTTGCTGTCCTGGGTGGGCAGGTGTCAGGACTCAGCCCTTTATCTACTGTCTGTGCTCACCAAGTCAGCAAGTGTCCATGGCTCCAGGAAGGAGATACACTGGCTACTTGTTCCCCTACAGATCTGAGACTCTCCTGGGTGCTGGGCTCCAGAGGGTCCTTGCTTTCAACCAGCACTCCTTGCTGTGGAATGGGGAGGTCTCCTGGGCCAGCTATCAAGTCTCCTTGAAGCAGGGCTTCTCTGGGTAGCTGAGAGGGCCAGCGCCCCTCCCCCCCCAACACATTCACCTGTGCACCTGTGCACCTTCAGGCCCTCCTGCCTAAAGACAGGTCTGCGTGCCAGGCTCTATGGGGTTTATCCAGTTGGCTCTGACTCCCTTCAATACAGCTGTGTACTGGCAGTTCCCAGGCTTTGCTATACACGGGAATCACCTGGGGATCTTTAAAAACTCCTGATGCCTGGCTTCTAGCCCCAGTCATCTTGACTTAATTGCCATTAGGGTGTGATCTGCGCCTAGGAGCGTTAAATTTCCCCTGGTGATTCTAATGTGCAGAACAGTTTGGGAACCAATGAGTTATGTCTTTTGAGGCCTAGCTCTGATGTTTATGGAGCAACACAATCCGAGTGGAGCAGGGTTCCAGGGACAAGAAAAGTTCTTTAAATAATTAGACAGAGGCAAGACTGAGCAAATAGGTGGTAAAGAACAGAAAGGAGAGAGGTAGAGATGGGGGCTGACAACCATTGGATTCACTTGTGGAGATGATGTCAGACATTCCTCTGCAATGTTAGAACAGGAAACATGTGAAAATAACCA